GATGGTGTACGTGGACTGGGTCTCAGTGCCTGCTCTGTCAGTCAGGGTTTCAGGTTTGTGACTGGCTGGTTAAGTCCTGTGAGGCCCTGGATCTGGGACACCATGCCCAGATGAAGGTTCTGGTCAATTCAGACGTTCCATACAGATGGAGGGTAAGGATGTCTGAACAGGCTTTTAGCCATCTTGAATCATTATTCACAGCCATCTTGAATCATTATTTGTAGATGTAAAGCCTGAAGGTGGAAAGAGAGAAACTGAATAAAGAGGTTAAGTAAAGGGGGTGCAGTGGCAAGAGCTATGACTAGTAAAACTAGGGAAAATGACAGTAGCAGAAGGAGGGACATTAGCCATGATTTCTAGCTTGATGCTGCTGGGCCCAACGTTTGCATCTTATCTGCAGAGTCTAGGATGTCTTCTTGTACTTGGCCTGACTGACTGAGGTAGAAACAGCACTCCTACCTTAGGGATGGGTGGGGTCCTCCCTCACTCTCAGTGAGGAGGTCTAATGCTCTGCAGTTTTGAAGAGCCACCCTAGCAAGTGAGTCTGATTGGCTCTGAAGCCCTGTCAAGGCAGCAGCCATTTCCTGGAAATTCTCGGCTATTTCCTGGGATAACTGGAATTGGATCCCGAGGCAGGAGCCTCCAGTGGCAGTTCCCACAGTTACCAGGAGAGCAACGAGCCTCTATGCTAGTGGGAGAAGGGGTCCCACCCATTTGGTCCCCGTTGATTGGTGATGCACTGGATAAGGGAAGGATGTATTGGCCATAGCCAAGCACATGGCTGTCACTATAAAACCCAAAGAGCAGCATCCAGTCCACCCAGGAGGGACCTCAAAAGTAGGCTCTATGTCCACACACCCAGTATAGTCCCAAAGAAGGGGACAAGTAGGAGGTGAAAGAGGTAATGACCAGGGGAGTGCTGGTGTTTCCCTGTCCGACCATTTGGAAATTTCTGCCCTCAAAGCTGAGTAGTCTGGGTGAATACATTGGCTGTTGTGAGGGGAGAAGCAATTGGGTGGTGGGTTATGGTTTGATTAGGTCGGTACATGGGTCTGGAAATGTCTCAGGCTGGGTTTTGGAATAGCTGGTGATCGGCTCACGTGAACAGGATGAACAGTTAGTACATGACCGATTTGGGAGCGCGCTGGCAAATGTGTGGGCGGTGGGCCGCCTTTGACAAAAGTCAGTCTGGTTGGTGGGACCTCAGTAGGATCCTCTGGTTCAATAATAATCATCAGGGTTGTCACTGTACCTTCCCAGGTCTACTTGAAGTTGTTTAAGTTCGGTGAGAGAGCAGGGTTTATGCACAAGTGGGGCCAAACTCCCCGGCCGCCTCGACAAGGGGGCAGACCCTCTGTGGAGGTAACCCTTGCTCTCCCTTGAAAGTGTGGTCCTGTGGATCAGGGGGACATCCAGGGGCATCAGGAGGACCTGGGATACAGGCAGATTTGGGAGTATCAGGGTGTTTGAGGGCTGAAGACCCCAGGGAATTGTGGTCTGGAGGAGAAGGCTCCAGGTATGGGGCAAAGTAGAATAGGGTAGAGGTTTCTCTGAGGGCACTGACCTGTTTGGACCCATACCCTCTGTAGAAGGTTCAGTTTGGGGGTGTTGTCTTCCATGGAGAGCATGCTTAGACCCACACCATCCATAGGAGGCTTGGGTTTGGGGGCTTCAAGCGTTCCCAATGTCAGAGGATGCAACCTGAGGGGCTATCGCACGGAATTGGGTGTTGGTTCCCCATCTAGAATGAATGGGAAGGACTAGTGAGTAGAGAGTCTGACATCTTGGGGTCATTACACCCACTGGCCGAGAGTGTGGTCTGGCACCAAACAGTGCTCTGGACTGGATGTCTCGGTCCAGTGTGGTCACGATGGCAAGTGAAACCATTTCACTGCTGTCAGTTCCCATGTATCTAGACCCAGCCTGGGAGTGAGGTCAGGGAGCCCTAGTACTTGACTAGGGCAAGGCTTGTGATCAATGGTGCAGAGCCCAAGCAGCACCACTCGGACATCCCCAGCGGAGGGGAGGCAGCTCTTAAGAGAATCTATCATACCCCTTCGCCCTGCAATCTGCTGGAGGGACAGTGTCCTCGAGGAGCAGTGCTCCTGGCTCCAGGATTCCCTAGTGACCTCACACTTTGAGAGAGAGCACTGCATTGAGTGGGTAGAACCTGTGATGTTTGCCCTTGGAGAACTCAGGCCTCCACAGCTACGAGAGAATATATTTTATCCACTTCTAAGCCACCTACTCAGTGGTAATTTGTTACAGCAGCCTGGGGACACTAAGAGTCACCCTTCCCCATTGAATTCTTCTCTCTCCCTCTCCACAAGATGTGACTGCTATCCTTAATAAGGCATTTATCACTTACACAGGCTACACGTAAATGCATTCCTCCTAAAATACCCGTTAACTGATACGTGACTGTTTGGCACCTTGTTAAATTTCACACATGTGGCATCTTAATGTTTCTAACTTTCTGAAACTAGCTTGTCCCCTCAGCCATTTGTTTCCACTGCCACCACCCAATGTTTGGCCCCCTGAGGAGGGCCTCTCTGTGTCTCATGCCCCTGAGAATTCCAGTCTCATCCCCAGAGCCACTTTTACTGTCCTGTTCAGTTCACCTGAAACAGTCTCAAAACACTGAATCAGTGTCGGTCGTGCCATGGGAGAAGCTCCGTCCCTCACAACTCCCCCACCCCATCGCTGCTCTCAACCAGCAGCGCTCCAACATCAGTGTGCTTTAGAATCACCTGAAGGACATGCCCCTCTGGTGGCTGGCCCACCTTCAGAATTTCTGATTCAGCAGGTCCAGAGTGGGGCCTGAGAATTGGCATGTCTAACAAGTTCCCAGCACCACCACCTGGTCTTCAGATAAGCTAGGTCATCTACTGCTTGCTTTCCATAAAATGCAGTAGAGGCTAGACCTCCGTCTCTCCCTTCATAGAAATTGTTAATAACTTGACATTTTAATTAATTTGTAGCTGCAGTAAAGAACATAAACACGGCTAGGAGCCATCCCTTTTGACAGCAGCATGGTGGGCCAAATCAAGAAGAAAAGATACAAAGACAGGTGTGTGTCAGTGTTATATCTAAAATGACTTCAGCATGTTCATTTAAAGCAAACTTTTATTTTTAAACTGGACAAATGCTGTCAAATATGTCTAACAAACAACAGAAAGCCTGGTGTCCGTGGATTATCACTGTTTGTGTGACAAAATCCGCAGCAGGACCACAGGCTGCTGGAAAGCAGAACAATCTCAAATCCGCAAGGGACAAATTCGTTGCTTCTTCCTCCATCCTTTCTTTTTACGCCTTACAACTGTAGTATGAAAGAAGAGACAATTCACAATTGTACCTGAATACCGTGCAACAGTGACTTTCTACATCTAAGTAAACAGTCACTCCTGTGGATGCCTGTTTTACCAACAGGAGGTCTCAACACGTTTTCCTCTTGCAACACAGACCTTTGGATATGTCTTCCATCCTCCCACCATACCCAACTCCTCTCCCACTTGCTAAACACCAAAAACACATGCTTTGCCATTCTTGTTTTCTCGAGGGACTTATCTAATGAGTGTTTCCACCTGAAAAGCCCGTGCTCTACCCATCAATCACACTCCTAACCTCCCAGCCCCTCAGTTTCCATGTCTGTTAAACAGTTAGGAGAAAGACAGAAAAAAAGCAAAAAAAGCAAGCAAGTAAAGGATAGGCAGGATGTAAGTTGACGTAATTACCAGTTTCGTGATTAACGATCTTGACATAACTCATTTCCTTTTCTTCTGATAATACTGGGGAAATAAAAAAAATTGCAATAGAACAAAGAGTTACCATCACTGAATGTGTGCCTACTCACAACTTTTAACTTACTTGGTCTTTTGAAAGTGGTCACATTCTCACAGGCCTTTTCTCCCAGTTGGTGCAAGCCACCGTATTTCTGTAGCTAAATAATGAAGGCCCAGCTAGTGTACCTTCCAGTCGCATTAGCCGCCTGTTGTGGTAACTGTGACCCTGAGCAAGAGTGGTTCTGGCTACCAGGCCTGATAAATTTCCCCCCTGTACAAGTCTTATGGCTGGAGATCGCAGGACCTGTAGCTGTGAATGAAGTTACATTCAGAGCATGGTGCATTGTATATCACCTAGAATACAGAAATTAACACCATTAAGCTGTTCCCTAAATAGATTTTAACCAGTTTTCAAAAAATTGTTATTTATTTTGTGGAGAAATATTTAAAAACATAACAACCATGACAGGCGTTATGTCAGGAATGGTTGGGTGATACCCAAAGCTACACAGAGATAACTGGGTTCTCTGGGTCTGCCCCTCTGCTGGGGTCCAAACCCTTTTTGCGTCCTTCCTCTGGTCCTTCATCATGGTGCTCCTCCTCGCCTCTGGCTTCTTGGACCTCTTTACCTTCCTTTCCACACTTACATTCACGTGCTCCCTTTCCCGGCTCCTCCTGCTTCTGGGGCGCTGCTGGTCCCTCTCCTGGCTCCTCCCTCTCCCAAGGCACCGGTCCCTCTCCAGGGTCCTCGGGCTCCTGGGAGCCGTGCCTGACCACCACAGGGCTTGAGTGGGGCTGGCCCTGGACATGACCATTATAATGGATATAGCGTAGAAAGGCACAGACCACATTCTGGAACAGGGTCCGAAACTGTACCATGGGGCACTCACGGGTGGCTGGGATGACTTCGGAGGCCTCTTGGACTTGGATGCCTTCATGGACTTCTGCACCCTCTTGGCTGCTCTGTGCTCCTCTTGCGACTCTTCTGTCTCTTCTTCCACATTGTATTCGTCCTCTTCAGACTCGGTCTCATCGTCCAGCTCATCCCCAAACTCGTCCAGAAATTCGTCATCATCGTCATCATCATCGTCCTTGTCCTCCCAGCACTCTTCCTGTTCTACTAGCTCTGCATGCCACTTCACTGCTGAGGCCTGGGCAGCTTTCTGCCCATCTGCCTTTCCAAGGGCTCGGGAGAGCCCCTGGAGATCCAGACGGGCCATGGGCCCCTCAAATTCTTCTACCCTTTTAGAAGCTGCCACCCCAACCCTGAGGGGTTTGAGATCACTGCCTTTCCCACCGCCTTCTCTGCCTTTACGACCTGGGGCTGGGGCTCGCTTCCCTGGGGCAGACATAGCAGGAGACACGTGCCAGTCAGTGCCGCAAGCAGAGCAGTTGTCAGCCCGGGGTGACTATCTCAGTCAAGATGGCGGCCGAGGAAGTGAATGCCGCCAAGGGGGCGCTGTTCGAAGCGGTGCCTGCTGGGAGGTGAGGGGCGTGGCAGAAAAGATGGCCACCATCCAGACTGCAGTCTGTGAGAGTGACTCTGAGACAGGAATTGGAGGGACTGGGGTGAGGGGAGGGATGGGGGAGGTGGGAGGGAGCCTGCGTCTGAAGGGGTGGGAGGACTTGGGAAAGGTTCTGGCTGGCCTGTGATGGGAGGTGGAGCTTGGAAATGTCAGCAAAGGGCCGATTCCGTCATCACGAGCTCTAAGCTCATTTGCTCAGAGTCGATTATTGACTTGCCTGCGGTCCAGTGAGTGATCAAGATGTTCGGCCTCACTCAGAGTCTTAGAGGCCTGATCGGGTTACCCTGTAAGCCTGGGCAAGTCTTCTCCTTTAAGTTCTACTATTGTCAGTAAAACTTCATAGTCCCTGTGTGGCAGCACTCTAGGTTCTGCCATGTGTGCTTTTCCCTCCCAATTTCCACCTTGGGAGGATTCCTGCCAGCAGAGACACAGTTATTTCAGGAAGGAAACAAAAGCGTATAGACTAAATATCAGCATGGTTAAAAAAAAACAAACTCAAAAGAGAGAAGGAGAATTTGGATGTTTAAACGTTATTAAAGCTACTTAGGAAAGTACATACAAAGTTGAAATGGATGCTGTGAGATGGAGAGTGGAAGAAGTATGAAAGTTGGAGCTGGAGAGTGGTTCATGCATACTCCCCAACCCAAGACTATAAAGGACGAATAAAGAAAGAGAAGCTTTTACAGGACTGGGCTGTGCACATACGAGGGACTGAATTGTGTGCCCCGACAGACAAGTGCTGTAATCCTTGCCCACAATGTAGTGGTATTTGGACATGGGTCTTTGGTAGGGAATCAGGCTTTGATGAGGTCATGAGGGGGGTCCACACTGTGTGATGAGTGCCCTTAACGAAGAGACCAGAGAGCTTGCCCTCCACAGTTCCCCACACCTACTCCGCCTTTCTTTTGTAACACAATCAATGAATAGGAAAAAAACTGTTATATGAACAAAACCAGAAGCTTTATTAGGGAATGTTATGCATATAATAATAGGGAGCTGTCCACAGCTTTTAATTAGATATATTATAAATTGAAAATTTTCCTTTAGAGTGGTAGTTTCCAAAGTGGTATTCAGATACCTAGGAGGTGTGCAAACAATCCAGTGGCATCCAGGAAAAAAAATTGTGTTTACATTATATTTATTCTACCTCACAATGCATTGCCTTCAAAATTTGTGCCTTCATAATTTACCCTCCCCAAGGTTCCTTAATATATGTAGGCATAGTATAACTGAATATACATTTTTTATGGATAGTTCAAAAATATTTCATGGAGAGGAGTGCATAGTCAAAACATTTATTAACTTTAGCTTTACAGAACCCAAAGTCACAAGCCCTCACACTATGGGTGCCATCCAAGGACACAGAAACAGGGGAGGAGATGGAAAAGCTAGTGACTCAGCCTCTTGAGTCTGCATTCAGCAGTGACTGCTAACCTCCCCACCAAAAACAGCAGTAATCAGCCCCTACACTTGCAACAACATATTCAGTGACTACCCCAGTGCTCGTACATACACAAACACTCGTAGTGATGGTAAACAACCAAATTATCTTTTTTGATGTGGGTATCACATACTCTCTGTCTGTAAACATCCAAGTTAAGTGTTTCTCCTCCCAGGGTAAGATGGTAAGATGGCATAGTCCAGGTGTCATAGAAACAAAAAATGCATCATGTTTTTATGGTTAACGTCAGTTCTTTATGGCAACTGGATAGTGTGAATTCATCCTCAGAGGCACAATTGTAATCTTTACTTCAGACACTTAAGCCTCCCAATCCACTAAATGGATGATAAATATTAGAAGAAACACCAGAAATTCATCAATGAATATGTATTGCAGTGAAAATATTTCTATACAAAGGTTTGGGGAATCAGTGTTTAAACAGAAGTGTTCACAAGTTTGGCTTTACTGTCAGACACACACATGTGTTCCAGTCCCAGCTCAGCATACTCTTACAAGATGTCCATAGTATATGCTGGGGCTCAAGGACATCTCAGAAGTCATTCAATCTTAATTTCACTCTCATTTCCACATGGCTCTAATGATGCCAGTTCTCAAGGAGAAAGAGAAGGGAGGCATATCTGAGACATTGTCATTTCCCTGCAGTAAGTGCCTCAGGTGTGAATCACATGGCAGAAGGGGACAAAACCCTTCTGTGTACCTGTAACTAGCACCCTCACTCACAAGCAAGGGTCACTTGTTCCTGTCAGCACATGCCTTTGCTATAGATCTCTTCCTCTGTGGAATGTGCAGCACATGTTGTTCATCACAGAAATTAGATTGTCACTTAAGTCATACGAGTAACTTCTCCATCTTATGACACCCTAAAATTATCTTTAGACCCCCAGAGCCTGAAACCATAACCCTGGCATTCAAAGAATATTTCCTCAATATTCTTAAGGAAAATAAATATTTACAGTAATTGCCATTACAGTAAAATACATTATGACAATAAAAAAAAGAAAAAATGAAAGCTGTCACAAGAAGAAGAAAAGCAAACTGGCCTTTTTGGAAATGAAATTTTATGTATCCATTATAAAGATGAGGAGAGTTTAAATGTATTAACACAGAAACACAGTAAAATAAAGTATAGAATTAAATTTAAAAATTATATTATATATCATAAAACACATATTAAAAAAGGTGCTGTATGTTTCTCCTTAAGACATAATTTCTGGTAAAAGCATAGATAAGAGAACTTGAAGCATATACAGCAAACTATTGAAATAGTTGAATGTGAAGGCAGGGGAGTAGTGCAATGGCAGGTTTGGAGAAATGAAACTTTAGAATTCCTTTAATTTTTAAAATATTTTACAAAGAACAGGCAATAGATGTTTTACATATTGTGCTAAATATTACTTTGAAAAATACTATGCAAAGACAGGAAAAGATAAATCTGGCCTATGTGAAAAAATGAACCAATCAAGTATAGCAATTTTAGCATTAGATAAAATAAAATTCAAGGAAAATAGCTTTCATTGTACTTCCACAGCTATTTCAAAATATAAAAAGAAGTACTCATGATGAACTCTTATGTACCCCAAAACAAAGTTTAAAATTTATACAGGAAATCTGCTAGACCTACAGTAAGTTAAATAACTATGCCAAAGGAAAACAAAATCACTAATTCAAAAAGATATATTAACCCCTATGTTTATTGCAGCTTATTTACAGTAGCCAAGTTATGGAAACAATCTAAGTGTCCATCAATAGATGAACGGATAAAGAAGATGTGGTACATTTCTGCAATGGAATATTATTAGCGGTAAAAAGAAATCCTGCCATTTACAATAACATGAATGGTCCAGAGGGTATTATGGTAAGTCACATTAGTCAGTCTGGTAAAGATGAGTAGCATATGGTTTCACTTATATGTAGAATCCGAAAAACAAAACAAAGAAACAAACCAGAATTAGACACTCAAACACAGAGAACACACTGTGAGTTACCATGGGTGAGGGGACGGGTGAAATACATGAAAGGGATAAACCGGTTTAAACTTCAAATTATAAAACAATTTTCGCACAGGATGGAAATACTGCATAGGGAATATAGCTAATAATATTGTAATATTGTTGTATGGTCACAGATGGTAACCACACTTACTGTGGTGAGCGTTTCATAATATATATAATTGTCATCACTGAAACCAGTATAATATTCTGTATCAACTATATTTTAATAAAAAATCACAAAAATAAAGAATACAAATAAATGCTTATAAGAAACTTTAAAACACTATTCTTAAAATTGAATTGTTTAAAATTTATATATAAAACCTAAAAAGTCCCATTAAAAAAAGCAGCAGAAAAGACTTGCCCTGCTGGGATTTGGACTTGCTTGGGTCACATGAATTCTTTTTTCCTTCAAGTTCCTCCATTTGGAATGGGAATGTTTATTGTATACCTGTCCCACAATTGTATTCTAGAAGCAGGTAACTTGTTTCCCACTGGAAAGGAAACTTATCTCAGAATAGATCAAACCTAGAGTCTCACCAGTGTGTGACTTAGGTGATGAGAGTGGGACTTTTCCGAGTTGATATTAAGGTGAGATTTTAGAACTCAGAGTTGAAGATGAAATGGATTAAGACTTCTGGGGATACTGAGGTGGGGTCAGTGTATTTTGCACATAAAAAGGACATAGTTTCAGAGGGCTGGAGAGTGGACATGATCGGTTGAATTGTGTCTCTGAAAAGATATGTTAAAGTCCTGACTCATAGTACCTGCAAGTGTAACCTCACTTACAAATAGGGTCTTTTCAGATGTGATCGAGTTAAGATAAGGTCATTGGAATGAGGCCTAATCCAGTATGACTGGTGTCCTTATAAGACTAAGGGACACAGACACAGTGACACATTCAGGGAAAATGCCAAGTGACAGTGAAGGCAGAAATTAGAGTTAGGCTGCCAGAAGCCAAGGAGCCTGGGGCTACCAGAAACTGGAAAAGACAAGGAAGGATCCTTCCCTGGAGGCTTCAGAAAGAGCAGGGCTCTGCTAACACCTTCATTTCAGACTTCTGGCCTCCAGGACTTGGAGGCAGTAAACCTCTGGTTTGAAGCCACCCAGTTTGTAGTTACATCAGTCCTAGGAAACTAATACAACACCCTTACCAGATCGAGGACGTCCCTTCTATTCAGTTATTCAGTTTTTCTTAGGATTTTTTCTTATCATGAATGAGTGTCGAATTTTTTCAAGTGTTTTTTTTCTGCAAAGATTGATAAAACCATATAATTTTTCTTTTGTAACTTATTAGTCTGATAAATTAAAATGTCAGATTTTTGAATATTGAACCAGTCTCCATTGCTGAATTACATTTGCTAACATTTTATAAAGGAATTTTCATCAGTATTCAGAATGGATATTAGTATACAGTTTTCTTCCTTTTCTTTGTAGTGTTTTTGGCTTTTGTATCAACATAATATTAGCTTTATAAAATGAATTGGGAAGTGTTTCCTCTGCTTCTATTTTTTGGAAGACATTATATAGAATTGGTGTTAATTATTTAAACATTTAACAGAATTCTCCAGTGAAATCATCTTGGCCTGAAGATTTCTTATTTGGGAGGCTTTCTAAATAGGCTTTATTTAAGAACAGTTATACATTTATGGAAAAATGGATAATATAATGCAGAGAATTCTCATATACCACCTCACATGATTTCTCCTATTATTAATATCTTACATTATTATGGTATATCTGTTATAGTTAATGAACCAATATTAATATATTATTATGAACTAAGTACATAGTTTATTCAAATTTCCTTGCTTTTTACTTGATTTGATTCTGTTCCAGGACCCCATCTGGAATACTACATCACATTTATTTGTCATGTCTCCTTGGGCTCCTATTGGCTGTAAAAATTCCTTAGGCTTTCCTTGTTGATGATGACCTTGGCAATTTTAAGGCATATTGGTCATGTATTATTTAGAATGTCCGTCTACTGGAATTTTTATGATTTTTAAATCATAATTAAACTAAAGTTATGGCTTGTTTTCTTTTGTGAGGATACAATAGAAGTACCATTATCATCACTTCATATCAAAAGTAAATACTTCCATCATGACTTGTCACTGTTGATACTGACACCGATCCCTTAGGTGAAGTAGAGTTTGTCAGGCTTCTTCACTGGGAGGTTGCTCTTTCCCCCAACCCCCTTAGCATACTGTACTTTGGGGAAAGAAGTCATGACACTCAGCTACACTTTAAGGTATAGGGATCTATGTTCCCCTTCTTTTAGGGCAAAGTAAAGTATCTATATAAATTATTGAGAATTCTTATGCAAGAGAACGTGGTCTCTTCTGTCCCATTCATTTATTTATTTATATCAGTATGGAACATGTGTATGAATTTTGTACTTTCGGTTACAATTCAGTACTAATTAATTTCTTCTGTTATTTAAATTGCTCCAACTTTGACAATAGGGGCGCGTTTGGTTGGCTCCTGTACCACCTTGACACATCCCCATCTATATGGGGATATTTTTTTAGCACTTCCTTATTTTATAGAACTGCAAGGTGTTCCAGACTCAGGTTTTGTATCTCTTTTCCCATTTCCTGAATGAGCTATTTCTTCAAGGAGCTCTGATTCTTTTTATTAGATAATTGTTCAAACAAGATCTGGACATTAGGGGTTCTCATTGCTACTGTGGTATCATTTCTTCTAGGACCTCACAGATGAAAAAGTAATGCAATATATGTGTGTCATCAAACCCTTGTGTACACAAGTACTGATAAATGTTTCTATATTTAAACATCTGCATCTGTATGTGTATTGTGTTTATTTATTATCTTTCTCCAGATATTTTCTAAATCCCTTGTGATTCATTTTTTGACCCTTTGGATTTTTAAGAGTGAGTAGTTTGATTTCCACATATTTGTGGGTTTTCGTGTTTTCCTTCTGCTATTGATTTTTAGTTTCATTCCATTGTGGGTGAAGAAGGTATTTTGTGAGACTTCATCTTCCTAAATTTGTTAAGACTTGTTCCGTGGGCTTCCTTGGGGAACGTTCCATGTGGATTCTGCTGTTACTGAGCTGAGTGCTCTGTAATGTCTGTTACGTACAATTGGTCTTTCATGTTGTGGAAGTCATCTGCTACCATGTCGATCTTCTGTCTGGTTGTTTCATACATAACTGGGAGCTAGGTATGGAAGCCCCTCTTATTTTTGTGTTACTATTTCTCCTTCTTGTGTGTCGAACATTTGCTTCATGTATTTGGGACTGCTTATTTTGGGTGTGCATTTTTTTTTGTATATATTGAGAGATGACCAACATAATAATTTTATGTTATGGAAAGGATATTGGCTTTGTAATAAGACTTGGCTAGTAGTCCTGATTCTCTGTCACTTATTGTTATGTGATCTTGGTCATGTAAGTCCCCTTTTCTAAGACTAATTTCTTTCTTCTAATAAGAGGGGCGGGGGGTTGAACTATAGCAATTGTTTTTGAACATTTCTGGTCACAGTCTATAGTAAGAAAAACATTTTACATCACAATCCAGTATACACATATACATGCCAACAAATCTGAAACAAAAGTATTATGAAGCAATCCTTACTCTCACTATGCGTGATGTACTTGCATTTTCTGTTTTTTTTCAGATTTTTAATTGATGACTGTGACCCAATAATTGACTTCATGACCTCATTTATAGCTTTACAAGCCACAATTAGAGGAACTCTGAACTAGTGGGTATCTAATGTTCCAGCACTCTGTGATTTTTATGTTATGCCTCCTTTTAAAATAATAGTAACAGTAGCTAGCGCTTATTGAACTCTTGGTATGTGCTGGTGTTTTAAGCACTTTATTCATAATAACTAACTTTTCAACAACTGTGATTACTTTTATGAGTCCAGTTTTAATGTTGAGGAAAATCCACATGGCTGATATCTGCACCAAATTTAGTGGACCACAAAATAAATTTTATGATGTATTTATGCGTTTTGAATATCTTAGAACATAGCCATTTTATGCAATGATTATATTGACTGCTTTTACTATTTTAAGCTCTAGGGGCCACTATAACAAATTGTGGGGATCTGAGGGGAGAAAAAAATCAGTAACGTATTATTGGGTCAAAAAATTATTTCTCTTACTCTATTGTGTAATTAATCTTAAGCAAGTTATCATAATATAATACTACGTCAGGGGACATTCACACGTAGGTGTGATACGTACTCAAGTAGACATCTTGGGGAGATACATTATCAGTAGATTGTTGGTAGAGCAATACAAAAGACACCAAATATGTGCCTCAGTCACTGTATATCTGTATTGTGTGAAGTATTGTAAAAACCAAAACAAAAAAAAATGGGTGCTATTTCCTCCCAATTCCAGTAATTACCCAACTCCTGGGCAGCATTGCCAATATTCATCTTCTATGAATTAGCTGGAAGGCCCCAGAATATGATGATACAGTATTATTAGGTATCAATTCCACTGACTATATAGTTTGGGAGAGGTAATGGAGCAGATATGGAAGATTTCAAACCAGTTCTTTGTGGCTAAACAATAGAGGTAGTTAGGTAGTTGATATTTAATGACTCTGGCAGTAAATCCAATAAAAATCTGTCATTTCCTTTTTTCATTCAACAATTACTGTTGAACACCTACTATCTGCTAGATACTTATTTTAGCACTGGAGATTCAGCAGTGAACATAAAGTACCGAAACTCAGGGAGCTTATTTTTTGTTTTCTAAGTTTGGATATTTGTTATTGTATTGTTTATAGAGAGGACACATACATATATTCCCTTAAGTGGAGAGGCAGTGGGAATTATAGGTTTTATTTATTTAAAATACTGGATGCTATTTATGCATAGCAGTAGTGAAAGAACTATGGGAAATTCTAAAGAATGAATCAGTTTCTGCTCTTAAAAGGCTTAAATTAGTTAAATTAGTGGTTTGAAACAAGGGGTGATGCTGTCTTCCCCTGGGGGAATATTTGTCAAGGTCTGAAGATATTTTTAGTTGTCACAACTTGTGGGGGAGGGTAGTGCTACAGGGAGCTAGTGGGTAGAGGCCAGGAATGCTGCTAAACATCCCCCAGTGAACAAGACACCCCCACAAGAAATAATTTTCTGGCCCAAAATGTCAAGAATGTCAGGTTGGCAAACCCAGAGTTAGAGAGACAAACTACATACATTAGATGTTTTGCTTTATTCACAGTATTTAAATTTTGTTCATCAGAGTATTAGGTGACAAATGGTAAATGAGTGCTGTAACAAGGTGACAGAGATAAGGGAAACATCATTCCAGAATGAATTGCTTATCGGTAGAAATATGGCTCAATCTGAAGTATGTCCCTCCTGCTTGAAACAGAGAAAAGCCTACAACACTGCTACTTTCTGACTTCATCTCCTGGCACTGTCCCCCTCACCCCTCCACTCCAGCCAACTGACTTTTGCATTTCCTTGGAAATACCAAGTATTCTGCTCTCATAGTACCTGCTCTTGCTGTTCCCTCTGACTCAACTGCCCTTTCCCAAGATACACACATACACACTTCCTCACCTCCTTAGGTCTCCATTCTGTTCAGTCTCTTAATGAACCCTTCTTTAATCATACTCTATATAAAATATTAACTTCTGCCCCCTCAGCTGCCTTCTTGTGTTTGTTGGTGTCCATAGCAAGACCTTGCCTTGCCCAGAGCAGGCACTCAAGAAATATGTGCAGAGTGAGTGAATTAGTTAAAGATTAATAATGGCAAGGTTCTTCATCCTAGGCTATGAGAAGAAGCTTGATAAAGGAGCCTGACTACTATTATCCCCAATGAGCTAAAACAGTGCTGCCTCATACTAGGTACTTCAAAGTAAACCAACAGTCATGAAATAGCAAAGGGAGATTGATCAAAAAAAGTCTATAACCAGCTTTGAAAAGTATTCATAAGACACTTAGCACATTTTGTGTATATTGGTACATCTAACTATTAATTCCGAGTATTCTTACAGCTTTAACACTTTACATTCGTTCCATATACCTTCTTTGTAGTTTAGGAGTGGTTTCTAAAATTGCACACCCTAGTTGTATTTTAAGCCAGATATTGTTTAAAACATAAATACATTTTAAGGAGTCTAATCAAAAGGCAGCTCTTTACCAAGCCAGTTCTACAATTTTTTTTGTTTTCGTTTGCAGTACTCAATAATTCACCAACCGTGCATTCAGCAAAGTGCTTTTAGGGAGGACTTTCTGGGCTAGGCTGTGTATACATTATCTGTGTTTGTTCGTAGTAAAGGAAACCCATATTATCACATTCAGTGATACATACGTGCAGTATATATCAGAGCACAGCAATTAATGTATATACACATTCAATATATATTCACTATACCAACTCTGATTTACTTTCTGTTGGTGTTCCAAGGCTCAAACCCTCAAACCCCTGAGCTATGACTACTTGCACCCCGCGTACGTCCACCTTCTCTTTTCCATTGCCTTTCGGCGTCCTCCCTACTAGAGGGGCCACGAGCGCTCCTTCCCCTCCCTCTTGCTACGCTTCGGGACCCAGGGCGACCAATGCTTTTCCTGCTACCCCTCCCGTGGCAATCCCGCGGGCACCAGAACCGAGGACCTGCTACGTAACCGCGCTCGTGGCTGCCTAGTAACAGCGCCTGAGCGAGGGAAGTGGGCCGATCTAGGGGCGGGGCTAGAGAGCCGACACGCGCACACGCGAAACGACGTGCAGCCCCCTTCGGGGGAGGAGCCTTTTCAGTCGGCCCGGCTGGGTAGCGATCGTCGCCCAAGCGCGCGGTTTCTTACTGTCTTGCTTTGAACTGGGAAAATTCGCTTTGGGGAGTGAAGAGGGTAGTCAGTGGCCTGACGATCACGTCTGGTGAGTTAGGCCAGCCTGAAGCCAGCCCCACACATGCTAGGCTAGACCGGCCGAACCGTGAGAGAAGTGGGGCTAGCGTCCTGGGAGGGGTGATCCGAAGGGCCGGGGCCCAAGGGCCCAAGTCCTGGATCCGAAATGTTCTTGAGCAAAGAACGGACTCACCTCTCCAGTGGATCACCCCTTCGGAGGTGGTGCCTGTCGCTGTGCTGGCTGTCCAAAGGTACCTGTTAGGGGATGAGCCACGCGACCGGATACCGAAACCGCCTCTTTACTGCTTTGATGTGACGATCTCCGACAGGGTGTACCAGCAGTGCTACCTGGTCCCCAGCCTAAACGATCTCGTGTACAAAAATATTCTGAATGTTGGCATAGAACTGAGAATTTCCAGAGTCTCGTGTCTTTACAACGAGAGAAGAACAGGCCAGGGGATCCTGTGCATAGATAGCGTCCACTGTGGGAAGACCTTGGACACTCTTTCTTTAGAAACTCCCTTTAGAAATAGTGCGCACGAGGAGATACAAAAGAGGCCTTGAAGGGGCGGTAGGAGTCATTACCTGGCGCTGTGGAATAAGGAAGACCCGTATGGAGATATCTGGCTAAGGAACAAGCAACCTGAGGAACACAGTTGTTATGGTAAGGAATTAGAGGCAACAACGGAGGGTTAAAAAATAGTTTTTAGGAGCTTGGCGTTAATGGGAAAGGAAAAGGAGGTGCTTTGGTATTGTTGAAGTATTACAAGCCACACGAGCGGTAGGAGACAAGTTTTCCTGAATAACAGAGTGGCGCTCACTTAATGAAATTTGCACAGCCCAAGGCTGGCTTTTATGCCTGAAACAGTTTACATCTGATCTGGCAAACATCCTGATTTGCAGTTAGTATTCCGCTTGTGTTCATTATGTTTTTGACTACAGTGGAATTAGTCGTAGTTTCATTGCCATTCCATTTGTGGAAATAGTACTTTTGGTGTTGGTTGGAGAGTGCGTAGATTTGAATTAGGCATAAAAGTTTTAAATATTTGTGGGTTTTGCATGTTTTAAACCTTTTTTATTCAAAAAGGATGTTTCTTGATTTATTCTTTAATAGTTTACATTAATGAAATGCCATTGTGTCTTTGAGTGTAGCATTTATATAAATACTGCCTTTTTGAATGTGTGATTTCTGCGGGAATGCTTAGAATTCTCATGTTTTTGTTTCTTATTTCTTAGCACGGATAGTAGTGATCTGAGAAGTTCAATTCTTCTGTATCAGAAGTAGGAAGTTAACCTGAAAATGCCAGCTCATCATCAGCAATTGCTCTAAAATGTGTTTCATGTCTTAGAGATGAAGGGAAATGATAGTTAACAACTGGCATGTATGAGCATGGAATGTGGAGGAAATAAAATGCAAAAAAAGAAAGCAAAAGTACTGAAGGGAGAAAGATGATAATTTTCTACATTTACTGCTTTTCAGGTGGTTTTTCCCGCATTATAGTCATAATGCTAGATCATAACCTTACTATGACGTGTAACATCAACGAACTTGCAAGTGAAAAGATGACTGTATCAAAAAGTGCAGTTAAAGTAATATCCAGTTATAAGGAGGAAAAGGTGTTTTAGAAATGTGTAGCCAAAGGTAATTTAAATAACTGAAGCTTTAAAAACAGGTTCATCATTTCAGGGATGACATAACGGAATGATTTTTGTGTCAAGCATGGAGTAAGGCAGCCTGGCCATACTACTCTAAGTGTTGATCATTTTATTTTTTAGAATTGGTTGTACAAATGAAAAATCAGTGTGTAGAAGAAGATTTAAGGGGGAAATAATTTGTAAAACTATTTAATTTTTCTGATTATGAAAGTAATATCTATTCATTATTGAAACCATATTGTTGCTACAAAAAGTGATAGCCATGTGCTAAAAAATCCAAACTACACATTTAGAAGTATATTGTATTAAAAATGTAAGACCCAAGTAGAGTAAAATGACAAAATCTGGAAGTGATGTATTGGTGTTCTTTCAGGTTTGCTGTGTGTTTGAAAGTTTTAAATAAAATGTTGGGGTGGAGTGAAAGACCCCTTTTACCTCCCCCCTTTCAAAACTCCAAATTGTCAGCAGTTTGGTGTATAACTTTGAAAAAAATAATTGTATGGTATTGCATGATTTACTATTCCCAATATCCCAGGCATCTTTAATGTACATCCATACATATATTCTTCTGCAGTGTGGAGGCAGTGATTATATAAAATCACGCCCATGTGAATGAATAATTTGTCATTATAGTAGTTATTGGTTTTTTCAGGTTTAGATCCAGTGCTGAACATCATTAGGTTTTATACATATTTGTTCATTATGTTCATGTATTTCTGTTGAATGGATGGATTGCTGGAAGGGAAATTGCTCGTTATAGAGTATTGAATTTTTAATGGATGTTGACCAATCACCTTCTGAAAAGGTTGTACTAAATAACATTCCCATTTTCCCATATCATACTGTTTTTAATTATGTTTTTGACTTTTTCAAATTCATTTCCAGGATTTGTTTGCTAATGGGTGTTAAGTTTTTGTCTAAATATTGCAGGTTCTTCTCTCACACTGTCCCTTTTCTCTTTTGTTTATGGTGTGTTTTTTTGCTTTCAGAGCTTTCCTGTTAAGGTATACTGTGTACACAGTAAAGTAGGAAAGTCTTACAAATACAGGTTAGTATATATATATATATATATATATATATACACACACACACACACACATACACACACACATAAACATATATATATATAAATACATACATATATGTATACACACACACACCGATTAAGATACAGAACATTTTAAGCACGCCAAAAGGCTCCATCATGCCCTCCTCTGGTCAATAGCCTACTCCAAAAGTAACCAGTATTGTCATGTCAAAGCCAGCTTTTTAAAATGGAAGTAGATCATGCCTTAAACTCTTCTGCCTCAATCTCTCCAGTGACTCTCCATTGCACTTAGAAGGTGACGCACACCTTCTATTACACTGTTAAGTTAATGACTTTGATATAGTTTTCCCTTACAATGAGGTGCTGTTAGAAAGGCTTCTGTCAGCATTTTATTTTGGAATAGTTTCAAGCTTACATAAAACTTAAAAGAGTAGTATAAAGAACTCCTATATACCCTTCACACAGATACACAGATTCAACAATTTTTAACATTTATTGTTGCTCTAATGTTTCCTCTCTCTCTCTCTTTCTCATTCTCTCTCGTCCCCCCACACACTGTCCTCAGAATCACCTGAAAGTAGGTACTCATCCTATATATCACTTTATCTCTAAACACTTCAGTAATATTTCAGTCCTTATTTCCTATGAACAAGAACATTCTATTACCCCACTACAATAATCAAAATCAGGAAATTTAAGAATGATAAAGTACTGTAGTTCTAACCTATAGTCAATATTCAAATGTTGCCAATTGCTACAATCTTGAAAGGGCCCTTCCTAATTTCTGTTGATTAACCTTTGGTGGGGAGATAAATGGATGTGATAATGTGGGAAAAAGAAGAAAACTATTGATTATGGTCTAGTTCTTAGATTTAGTGGTGGACTCAAATGTGTTCAGTCTATTATTTAGCTGTATAGTTCATGCACATGTATATTCTCTCATATATGTTAAATACTATATTAAAGTAGTGTATTTGTTTTTTTCAGAAATCTGCCTGAACCCTCGAGATCCTCCAACTAATATAATTATCATTCCAGAAAAGTAGGTGAAACCAGAATGGAGATTGCCAAAATTAAATCACCACTTCACCACAAGGTAAAATAGCCTCTTATAAAATATCTGAAATACTGACAGTCAAGGTTAGTTACTGAAACAATGTATTATAATTTACTCAAAATGTATCCAGAATTGTGCTGTAGCAATGACACAGATGCACATTTTCACAATTACAGTTGTAGAATACTTTTCAGTATTAAAAATATACTATCTGTTCAACAATTTTTTGTTTTTTAGATCAGAACTGGATGATATGCCAGAAAATCATATCTGTGATGTTATTGGCATTTTAGTTTTTGTAGGAAGGGTTCAGAGGTCAAAGCAGAAAGGTAAGGTTTTAAAATTGAAATATTTCATTGAACAGTTCTGTGTTTATACGTGCATAATCAGTTACCTTCATTTATTCTAATATTCTATCCATATAGAAAACTGTGAAGATTTTTGGTCATATGGTTGGATTCATACTGCTGATGGGACTTCAGAACAACCATTTATAGTGGAATTGTTTTCTATGTCTCAGCCTGAAATCTCTGAAAATATTTACCCAAGTACTCAGTCCAATATTTGTATCTTTTTATTTTTGAATTGGGGGCATTAACTTAAAAAATGGCATACTGTACTGACTTACAGAGTGGCATGATACTCTGTTAGCAAATTCCAGCAGTCTGATAACTTGTTTAAATTTTTTCTATATTAATATTACATTTGGTATTACAGATATTAACCTCCTGGTTAGTATCTGATTTTCTGTTCAGAATCAAGTTTGGGATTGAAACCAGTTTTTAAGAAAACAGGTGCTCTTACTAATTCTCATTGTTGGCATTTCAGGAATAAAAGCTTAAGATTCAGTGAAACTAAAACATAGGCAGTCATCTTTTGCATCCGTTTGGAAATTGATTAAGCAGTCCCCATTAAAGACAATGAAGACTTCACTAAGGTAAAATTAATTGGTAGAGAATTGGCAGACTGTGTAATTAAATAATGACAGTAGTGAGTATGATTCCATTCGAGTATTAAATTTATATTAGGCTGGTCGTGTTACACCAGCTGGTCAATATTTTACTTACTTTGGTGTTGACTTTTCCCACTTGAATTTATTCAGACATTGGTATATTTTGCTCTAATTTTATTTATTTGAAAGCATTTTAGGTATGCCCTGTTACATATTTTATATAACAAATTAGCCCTCAAGTTGATTATGATAAGACAAAAAGTGTATTTAATACTTTTTAACAACTTCGGCGAATTTTTGCTTATTTGAATTTGTAGCCGAAAGCTGTTTTAGATAAGGCATGCTATTTTAACTATTTTCCAAATGATTATATGAGTAAAACACTCATTGTTAAAATAAACGTTTGCCAACATTGGGGAAACTCCCAATCTTTACACGTAATTAAAAAAAACCAAGAACAAGGTAAAACTTGTCGAACATCAGGAGACCTAGAGACCGTTTACTGAGCTGTTCTGCTACCCCTTTATTTGCTACTGCAAAACGGTACTACAGACCACTCAGGTATCACCTCTCATTAGATTCCACCCTTTGCTTGTGAGATTAAATTCTTTACCATAGGATTTCACTTATACATAGAATCTAAAAAAATATAACAAATGAACAAACAAATAAAAAAATATGTATGAAATAGAACTAACCCTCACCTCAGCTATTAAGGGAAAGGGCAGAAAGAGTTTTGACTAAAACTGAAGCATGGGCTTCTAGTGTGAATAGAGCTTATAGCCTCTCACATAACTTCTCTAAGGGCATCAGTGATAACCTCTGATGACAATTCCATTACTTGATTTTATATGAGTTTTATAGCCAGGTCCCTCTTTCTTCACAGCCACTTTAAATAAGAAGCTGACACAAGTTATGGATAATGATTTTTCACAGCAATGTTGCCGCATATGCATGTTCTATTCTCTCTGATAATATGAAGTACATGAAATATACTTTTCTAAAGAAAGTTTGTACAGACCATTGGTGAGATTTACTGCAGTTAAGTAGTTGGCAACAATCACAATTTATGGACATCTTTTGACCAAGAGTGAAGGAAAAAAATCATTAAATGAATGGTGAGCATTAAAGGGGCTTCTGGCCAGTGAAGGGGAATGCAACCAAGGATCTTCTAGAATAATGCAAGAATCCTGCGGTTAGTAGGGCATCTTTTGTCCTTTTAAGGAAAGTGAAGAACTAAGGGGATCTACTGTTGGGTGTTAACTATATACTGGATGCCTGTAGATGTTAGATCTCATATTGTGCTCCCCATTACCTTTTAGACAGTTGATGTTTTTACAAGTGTATAGGTGAGAAAACAAAGGTCAGAGAGTTTAAGTAATTTCCCGGATGTCAAACAACTAGAAAGTGTTAGATCTGAATGTCTGATTTTTAACAGCCATGAAATTAGCATAAGAAATTTCTTTAATAGTCCTATCTCAACATCTTTAACCATGAATACTCATATTTGTACAGTGTCTGAAATGGAGGAAAAGTGATACAAATTAAGATAATTATTCTTAGTCATTTGAACAGATGTCCTTTATCTTTGTTGTTACAAAATGAAGAATTAGTAATATGAGATACTGGAAATCAATTCATACTTATTATCAAATGAGAACTTACTGTTATTGTGAGGTTATAAGTATTTACATTTATTTCTTCATTTTCTGGTTTGTGAGACCATAACTGTTCTCACATGTAATGAGTTAAGATTAAAGAAATATTTTTAGATTAATGAAACTTTACCTAAATAACCTGATAGTTAATAACTATTGATACATTTAGAAAGCAGTTGAAGCTGGAAGATATTATGAACTCATTTTCAAATATTCTTTTTAGTCTATCAGGTTGGTAAGCAAGGTGAACAGAAAAGAATACGTGGTATGAGCCCTTGTCATTTAGGCTTAAAGTCTAATTACATTAAGCTAAACACATATAAAGCACTTGCATGAGCAAGTACAAATTAATACTGTGTGGCCCTATATAGTGGAAGGAGTCAGAGTAATTCAGGAATCAGTATTAGATTGGGTTAATCAGCAGAAGCATCATAGAGAAACTAAACTCTTTTTCCTGTAGGAGATAACTGTTGACACTCAGTTGTATGCCCGATTAGAAAGACTGTTGTGCTCTTTAACTGTACAGCAAGCAGTGACTATTAGGCGCCACCATTGTACTTTTTTTTTTTTTTAGATTTTTAAAGGGAACTTTATTATTTTTTTTAGATGTTTCTTATGTGTCTTCTTTTTTTAAAAATTTTATTTTGGTATAATTAATCTACAATTACATGAAGGACATTATGTTTACTAGGCTCCCCCCTTCACCAAGTCCCCCCCACATCCCCATTCACAGTCACTGTCCATCAACATAGTAAGATGCTGTAAAATCACTACTTGTCTTCTCTGTGTTGCACAGCTCTCCCCGTGCCGCCCCCACACTATACATGTTAATTGTAATGCCCCCTTAATTTTTTCCTGCCCTTATCCCTCCTTTCCCACCTGTCCTCCTCAGTGCCTTTCCCTTTGGTAACTGTTAGTCCATTCTTGGGTTCTGTGATTCTGCTGCTGTTTTGTTCCTTCAGTCTTTCTTTACTATCTTACTGTCTAACTTAACTTGCTTGTTGAGCTATTATAAACACGGTCTGCTGATTCTTTATTTCTCTCCCTTCTTATTCCTCCTCCTCCCTTCTTCATATGTTGGGTGTTTTGTTCTGTGCTCTTTTTAGGAGCGCTCCCATCTAGACCAGTCCCTGTAGGATGCCCTGTAGAGGTGGTTTGTGGGAGGCAAATTCCCTCAACTTTTGCTTGTCTGGGAATTGTTTAATCCCTCCTTCATATTTAAATGATAATCGTGCTGGATACAGTATTCTTGGTTTGAGGCCCTTCTGTTGCATTGCATTAAGTCTATCATGCCATTCTCTTCTGGCCTGTAAGGTTTCTGTTGAGAAGTCTGATGATAGCCTGATAGGTTTCCCTTTGTAGATGACCTTTTTTTTCTCTCTGGCTGCCTTTAATACTCTGTCTTTGTCTTTGATCTTTGCCATTTTAATTATTATGTGTCTTTGTGTTGCCCTCCTTGGATCCCTTGTCATGGGAGTTCTGTGTACCTCCATGGTCTGACAGACTATTTTCTTCCCCTAGTTTGGGGAAGTTTTCAGCAATTATTTCTTCAAAGACACTTTATATCCCTTTTTCTCTCTCTTCTTCTTCTGGTACCCCTATAATGTGGATATTGTTCTGTTTCGATTGGTCACACAGTTCTCTTAATATTCTTTCATTCCTGGAGAGCCTTTTATCTCTCTCTGAATCAGCTTCTCTGCTTTCCTGTTCTCTGTTTTCTAGTCCATTAATGGTCTCTGCATCTCATCCATTCTGCTTTGAATTCCCTCCAGGGATTGTTTTTTTTCTGTATTCACCCTCCTTAGTTCTTGCATATTTCTCTGCAAGTCCATCAGCATGGTTATGACTTTTATTTTGAATTCTTTTTCAGAAAGATTGGTTAAATCTATCTCCCCAGGTTCCTTCTCAGGGGAAGATGTAGAAGATGTTGAAGATGTCTGGGTTAGTCTTGTCTGGATCAAATTTTTTTGCCTTTTCATGTTAATAGGTGCAGTGATACGCTATTGACTCGTCTGTCAGCTGGGAGAGTCAAGACTCTTTCCACTTGCTCCTGGCCTTTCTTTACTGGGACAGCTGCGACCCCTAGTGGCTTGTGTTGGGCAATTGCGTGTAGACTGGGTCTCTTTATCTTGCCTGGCTGGTATGGAGGATGCTCCCTTGCTGTGGGTCTGGCCAGCCTCAGGCTGCTGCTCTGCTTGGTGGGGCCCCTGAGGGGTAATGGATGGGGGGCTGTTTGGCTGTTTACCTCCATGAGGGGTCTCAGAGCTGTTGCCCAGGGGATTAGTGCGCCTGGATTTCCCTGGAATTTCCAGCTGCTAGACTGTGACCTGGGATGCTTCTGTCGAGCTGTGGCGTCCCTGTCCCTTTAAGACTTTCAAAAAGCACTTGCTTTTCTTTGTCCCAGGGGCACTGGCTGCGTGAACCGCTCACAGGTCTTACTGTCCTGCTTCCCTAGTTTCCAACACCCCACGCATGCACTGTGTGTCTGCGCTCTGGTGCGGATGGCTAGGGCTGGGTGTTTAGCAGTCCTGGGCTCCCTCTCCCTCCCTGCTCTGACTCCTCTCCTCCCACCGGGAGCTGTGGTGAGGGGCCTTGGGTCCCGTGGGGCTGCGGCTTGTATCTTACCTTTTCACCAGGCGCTGGGTTCTCGCAGGTGTGGATGTAGTCTGGCTGTTGTCCTGTGTCTTCTGGTCTCTCTTTTAGGGATAGTTGTATTTGTTGTATTTTCAAAAATATATATGTTTTTTGGAGGAGATTCCCACTCTCCTGCTCACGCCGCCATCTTGTCTCCGCCTCCCCACCATTGTAATTTATAAAGGAAAAATAAGTGTTAGATCCTTTATCTAAAGGAAAAGGTAAGTATTAGATCTTTGTTCCTCTAAGTGTGATCAAAGGACTGGGAGCAGTCACTGGTATCACCTAGAGCTTATTAGAAATGGAGAATCGTGGGCCCCACCCCAAAACTACTGAATCTGAATGTGTATTGTAACAGTTGCACCAGGTGATTCCGCTGTTCATTAAAGTTCGAGAAGCACTGTGTTACATCCTTATCTCGGTTTGTCCTCTTTGAAATGCAGAAGTAATTTTGTGTTTTCATTTTCTGCAGTGACAGATTTCATGTGTACACAGTTGAAAGTTGTCAGAAATGACACTCAAGTACCTAAACTGCTTTACCTCACCACTACAAATGAACGTCAGATATTTATTATTGGTGAGCAGTTGGTTTGTGTGTGCTTTACTGGAAATGTAATGTATTTTTTCTTCATTAGATTAACTTTTACATTACAACATTCAACCACAAGATAGCTTTATTTTGACATCTTTTATCACTATAGGAATGTTTTCAAAAAAAATATTTAGCCTATGAAATATATTGATTCTTGATTGTTTATGACTGAAGCAATGATTTTGACTCACTGGAAAATTGTGCTTATGTCCTTTGATGAGCTTTAATTCCTGCTTGATGTAAGGCAGATAATCATAAATTGTTTACAGATGGAAGACTGTTAGGCCCTATATCCCAATATGGATTCAATGGATATTTTCAAAACACTAAATAAAATTCAAATGTGCATGAAATTTTGGGCCTTGGAGCTCACATTTTTCTTACATAGCAAAAAGCCTCACTACTTGTCTATAAGTACATTATGTTTCTCTATTCAAAACAATGAAGGTAAAAGTTTCCAGAAGAGTGAGGGAATAATGTGGAATAGTGTGTGTACTAGAATACTACCATGTTGGTAATGAGGAAATTTGTTAGAGTCCTAGGAAGTATGTATCCACATGTTTATGAATATCTCATTTTATATATACTAATATCAGATGTAAATGACCCTTTTAAATATGCTTTAAGAACATGAGTTTAAATGCTGAGCTATATTCATAGGCAGTTTAGTTCATACGTGATGCCATACCTTCAGTGTAATACATGATTTAAAAACCAATTTTTTAAGATGTCGACCATTTGAGTAGGTAGAAAAATCTGTATTATTAATTTTCTTTTTATCATGGCTTTTCAGTTTCCTGTAGACAGTTCCACTTTAGTCCACTTAAACTTTGATATGTCTGATTTCCTTAAGATTTAGTTACTCTCTTTGATAATTTTTAATGCATATTGAGTATAAACAGCTGCTACACTGAAGAAGTGAACATATTTTCTTGGTGGCATGAGATTGTTTGAATTTAAACTGTTTTTATATAGAAAATCCCACACTGTTTATTAATTTTTTTCTCATTTTTCTGCACTTTATCCTTCCTGCCAAGAGGTCATAAAAGCCGTCCATATTCCAGCGATACCAAGGTAAAAACTTCCTTCAGTGGAGTAAAGAAAAGACTGATTCCGGAGAAATGAAGAATACGATTATTGGTGTATATTACGTCTATCCACCAGTGCCGGAAATATTTTTGAAATATAAGAGTTCTGTTAAAGGTACTATTGTAATTACTAGTCCTTTATGTGTTTTTATATGCTATGTGTATGGTATATGCTGTATCAGTTAATCTTTATAATTTTACTAGGAATGAGCCAAAGTGTAGCAACACTCACTAATAATAATTTTGTCTTTATGTAGACCTAAAAATACATGTCATACCTCTTAAAGGTTAATATTGTGGTTTTATTAGACTGGAAGAAGGGAAAGAACATTGATAATGACTAACTGGAGATAATATCTTGATTTAATGTCATGGAGATCAAATCTAACTTTGAAAGATCTCAACTCCTATGATACTACATAGAAAGACTAAGAGTATGAAAGGAGACACTGGATAATTTGATATCAAAATACCGACAACTCTGCTATGTTACTCTAATAGAATGATATATATTGGATATAAGATAACTGAGCACTTCCTTTGTATAAAAATGGCAACAAAATAAGTGAGATGCAGAATAGTCACTGATGAGGGGCCCTACATTATATTCATATAATTAAGATATAACAGTAGAAGAGTTTAATGTAAGTATATTCTTTTTAGAAAGCTATGGGAAAATTGCATGATTTTGGAAAGAAGAGAAACTTTGAAATACTGACATAACATCTAAATATTGGCATCCTTTTGTATTTCATAATGCCAGCAATATATAGTATATGGTTGAAAATATTAAAGTGCGTGTTTCTATGCAGTGGCTAGGCAACACTTTATAGTTAGAAATGTGTAAATTACATTCAATTTGCAAAATTTCTGTCTCAAGACTCTAGAAGACTATCACAGTTTTACTGATAAATATGTTTTGTCTATTTTACAAAAATTACGTAAGGGGATGATATCAAATATAATCACAAAGTCTCTCAAATTTAAGTTATGTTGCAAGTTTATAATTTCATGTTGTGAAATTACATTGTAAGTCTAATTCTTATTTTTATCATTTCATTACTTTAAAACTTACAGTTTCCTTGGAATTAGTCTTTTTCAGTTGAGTCACTCTTCACAGCTTTAAATGAACTGAGGAGTGACATTGAAGATTTACAGTATAGGGAACAAAAGCGCATTGCAATTCAGGGGATAATTACTGTTATAAAGTATGTTCCCACTAACTGTGCTACTGAAAGTGCCTCAGCATCAGAAACATTTCGACTGGGGTGCCAGACAATTAATAGTATATCTCTGAAAGCACTGTGATCATAATTACAATTGGTACCTTGTACATTTTATTCAGAACTCACTTGTATTGACTCTTAATGATGTAAACGTAAGAACAAAAACACTGTTTTTGTTTTTGTTTGTTTTTCTGTTTCTTTTTTTTTTTTTTGAGAGGGCATCTCTCATATTTATTGATCAAATGGTTGTTAACAACAATAAAATTCAGTATAGGGGGGTCAATGCTCAATGTACAATCATTAATCCATCTCAAGCCTAATTCTCGTCAGTCTCCAATCTTCTGAAGCATAACGAACAAGTTCTTACATGGTGAACGAATTCTTACAGAGTGAATAAATTCTTACATGGTGAACAGTACAAGGGCATTCATCACAGAAACTTTCGGTTTTGATCATGCAATATGACCTATAAACCATCAGGTCAAATATGAATATTCATTTGATTTTTGTACTTGATTTATATGTTGATCCCACATTTCTCCTATTATTATTATTATTTTTATTTTTAATAAAATGCTGAAGTGGTAGGTAGATGCAAGATAAAGGTAGAAAACATAGTTTAGTGCTGTAAGAAGGCAAATGTAGATGATCAGATGATCAGGTGTGTGCCTATGGACTAAGTATTAATCCAGGCTAGACAAGGGCAGCAAGACATCCACGGATGCAGAAGATTTCTCTCAAAGCAGGGGGGGTGAGGTTCTGAGCCTCACCTCTGTTGATCCCCAAATTCTCACCTGATGGCCCCCCTGCGACTGTGCCTGTCTTAGGTTGTTCCTCCCTTGAGGAATCTTACCCGTCTCTGGCTAACCAGTCATCTTCCGGGGCCATACAGGGAAATGTAAAGTTGGTAAGTGAGAGAGAAGCCATATTGTTTGCAAAGGTTAGCTTTTTACTTCTTTGCAGATTTATGCCCTGTGGCTTCTATGCCCAGCACTTGTCTCGAGGTATCTTTACCACCTGGAGGAATTATGATACTCGGTAAATTCGATATGAGGCACGAATTCTATTTAAGGTTTGTAATTAGGAAGGAAGAAGAAAAGCTATAGATGTAGCATATGAAGGAAACTTGGGAGGATTGATTATTTCTTTGACATATCTTCTTGTATAGTACCTTAAGTATGTATAGGTTTTAAACTACTAACTAATTTGCACACACATATTAACATAATAGGAATACGGTGACATAAACAAAGCAAATCTATAATTACCAGCCATCTCCAGTGAAGCCAAGAAAACCATTTAGGCACCCTAGGCATTTGTGAAAATTTATCTATGATATGATGGATATTTTCCAACTGTACTTGAACCATCAGACAAATTAAAGCAGCCCATTTCTGGGATCTGTTCACATCCCATATGTTCTTTTAACCATAGATAGTCTATAGTCATGAGATTTTGGGGTGCTACAACTTGCACCCCTCCCAACTCCTGGTTGAGTTCCAACAGTACAGATCCAGTCAAATTCGTTGTCTCACTGTATGCACATGCCAGCCTAGACATCTCCCTCCTCCTTCTTATGGCAAGTCCAGGAGACGGTGGGCTGGATGCAGCCACAACCGCAGCATCGTCCGGATCCCTGTGGAGGCTTTTTGATGATCATCCCCCGGCACGAGTCCTCCAGAGAGTGCTGATGCCGGAAGCTCCTCCTCATATCGTATCTTAGTTCATTTTCTGGGTATCCAAGCTAGGCCTTGATCTTCTGCGTAGAAACAAACAGACCCTTTGCCCACACTTTGACATGCCCTCTATACCACTGTGCAGAACTCATTGGAGGTCAGCACACAGTAACTTTTTTTTTTTTTTTTTTTAATTAAGAGAAAGGAATATTATCAGAAAAGAGTACCTCCATAGCTGATCATCTGACACCCTTTAAGTGATCAACATTAAGGATATTTAAAGCATGCGTTGATCTTTGATTTACCAATAGTTTTATCCTGTTAAGGAGTAATCCCCCTTTTCTTTCTTTTTTTTTTTTTTTTTTTAAATTTTTAATCTACACTTACCTGAAGAATACTATGTTTACTATGCTCTCCCCTATATCAGGTCCCCCCTAACAACCACATTACGGTTACTGTCCATCAGCTTAGCAAAATGTTGTAGAGTCACTACTTGTCCTCTCTGTGTTGTGCAGCCCACCCTCCCCTTTCTCCCTCCCCCCCATGCATGCTAATCTTAATACCCCCCTTCTTCTTCCCCCCCCTTATCCCTCCCTGCCCACCCATCCTCCCCAGTTCCTTTCCCTTTGGTACCTGTTAGTCCATTTTTGGGTTCTGTAATTCTGCTGCTGTTTTGTTCCTTCAGTTTTTCCTTTGTTCCTATACTCCTCAGATGAGTGAAATCATTTGGTATTTCTCTTTCTCCGCTTGGCTTATTTCACTGAGCATAATACTCTCCAGCTCCATCCATGTTGCTGCAAATGGTTGGATTTTTCCACTTCTTATGGCTGAGTAGTATTCCATTGTGTATATGTACCACATCTTCTTTATCCATTCATCTACAGATGGACATTTAGGTTGCTTCCAATTCTTGGCTATTGTAAATAGTGCTGCGATAAACATAGGAGTGCATCTGTCTTTCTCAAACTTGATTGCTGCGTTCTTAGGGTAAATTCCTAGGAGTGGAATTCCTGGGTCAAATGGTAGGTCTGTTTTGAGCATTTTGATGCACCTCCATACTGCTTTCCACAATGGTTGAACTAATTTACATTCCCACCAGCAGTGTAGGAGGGTTCCCCTTTCTCCACAGCCTCGCCAACATTTGTTGTTGTTTGTCTTTTGGATGGCAGCTATCCTTACTGGTGTGAGGTGATACCTCATTGTAGTTTTAATTTGCATTTCTCTGATAATTAGCGATGTGGAGCATCTTTTCATGTGTCTCTTGGCCATCTGTATTTCTTTTTTGGAGAACTGTCTGTTCAGTTCCTCTGCCCATTTTTTAATTGGGTTATTTGTTTTTTGTTTGTTGAGGCGTGTGAGCTCTTTATATATTCTGGACGTCAAGCCTTTATCAGATCTGTCATTTTCAAATATATTCTCCCATACTGTAGGGTTCCTTTTTGTTCTATTGATGGTGTCTTTCGCTGTACAGAAGCTTTTCAGCTTAATGTAGTCCCACTTGCTCATTTTTGCTGTTGTTTTCCTTGCCCGGGGAGATATGTTCAAGAAGAGATCACTCATGTTTATGTCTAAGAGGTTTTTGCCTATGTTTTTTTCCAAGAGTTTAATGGTTTCATGACTTACATTCAGGTCTTTGATCCATTTTGAGTTTACCTTTGTATATGGGGTTAGACAATGGTCCAGTTTCATTCTCCTACATGTAGCTGTCCAGTTTTGCCAGCACCATCTGTTGAAGAGACTGTCATTTTGCCATTGTATGTCCATGGCTCCTTTATCAAATATTAATTGACCATATATGTTTGGGTTAATTTCTGGGGTCTCTAATCTGTTCCACTGGTCTGTGGCTCTGTTCTTGTGCCAGTACCAAATTGTCTTGATTACTATGGCTTTGTAGTAGAGCTTGAAGTTGGGGAGTGAGATCCCCCCTACTTTATTCTTCTTTTTCAGGATTGCTTTGGCTATTCGGGGTCTTTGGTGTTTCCATATGAATTTTTGAATTATTTGTTCCAATTCATTGAAGAATGTTGCTGGTAATTTGAGAGGGATTGCATCAAATTTGTATATTGCTTTCGGCAGGATGGCCATTTTGACGATATTAATTCTTCCTAGCCATGAGCATGGGATGAGTTTCCATTTATTAGTGTCCCCTTTAATTTCTCTTAAGAGTGACTTGTAGTTTTCAGAGTATAAGTCTTTCACTTCCTTGGTTAGGTTTATTCCTAGGTATTTTATTCTTTTTGATGCAATGGTGAATGGAATTGTTTTCCTGATTTCTCTTTCTATTGATTCGTTGTTAGTGTATAGGAAAGCTACAGATTTCTGTGTGTTAATTTTGTATCCTGCAACTTTGCTGTATTCCGATATCAGTTCTAGTAGTTTTGGAGTGGAGTCTTTAGGGTTTTTTATGTACAGTATCATATCATCTGCAAATAGTGACAGTTTAACTTCTTCTTTACCAATCTGGATTCCTTGTATTTCTTTGTTTTGTCTGATTGCCGTGGCTAGGACCTCCAGTACTATGTTAAATAACAGTGGGGAGAGTGGGCATCCCTGTCTGGTTCCCGATCTCAGAGGAAATGCTTTCAGCTTCTCGCTGTTCAGTATAATGCTGGCTGTGGGTTTATCATATATGGCCTTTATTATGTTGAGGTACTTGCCCTCTATTCCCATTTTGCTGAGAGTTTTTATCATGAATGGATGTTGAATTTTGTCAAATGCTTTTTCAGCATCTATGGAGATGATCATGTGGTTTTTGTCTTTCTTTTTGTTGATGTGGTGGATGATGTTGATGGATTTTCGAATGTTGTACCATCCTTGCATCCCTGGGATGAACCCCACTTGGTCATGGTGTATGATCCTTTTGATATACTGTTGAATTCTGTTTGCTAATATTTTATTGAGTATTTTTGCATCTACATTCATCAGGGATATTGGTCTGTAATTTTCTTTTTTGGTGGGGTCTTTGCCTGGTTTTGGTATTAGGGTGATGTTGGCTTCATAGAATGAGTTTGGGAGTATTCCCTCTTCTTCTATTTTGTGGAACACTTTAAGGAGAATGGGTATTATGTCTTCTCTGTGTGTCTGATAAAATTCCGAGGTAAATCCGTCCGGCCCCGGGGTTTTGTTCTTGGGTAGTTTTTTGATTACTGTTTCAATTTCTTTGCTTGTAATTGGTTTGTTTAACTTTTGTGTTTCTTCCTTGGTCAGTCTTGGGAGGTTGTATTTTTCTAGGAAGTTGTCCATTTCTTCTAGGTTTTCCAGCTTGTTGGCATATAGGTTTTCATAGTAGTCTTTAATAATTCTTTGTATTTCTGTGGAGTCTGTCGTGATTTTTCCATTCTCATTTCTGATTATGTTGATTTGTGTTGATTCTCTTTTTCTCTTAATAAGTTGGGCTAGAGGCTTATCTATTTTGTTTATTTTCTCAAAGAACCAGCTCTTGGTTTCGTTGATTTTTGCTATTGTTTTATTCTTCTCAATTTTGTTTATTTCTTCTCTGATCTTTATTATGTCCCTCCTTCTGCTGACTTTAGGCCTCATTTGTTCTTCTTTTTCCAGTTTTAATAATTGTGATGTTAGACTATTCATTTGGG